ACGCCTGTTAGTATCGGTGATAAAAAATTTAGTTTTTTTTAAATAAGATATTAGTTTTGAGTTTTATGAATAAAAAAAAAAAGTTTGAGAGAGTTTATTTTTTTATAAGATTTGATCCGATTCAATTTTAGATTAATCGAAATTTAAAATAATTATTAAACACCAAAAAATTTAACAAAAAATAAGAAAAAAACAAATTTTACTCAATCCAATGACTGGACTATGCAAAATAATAAGCCTAAATTTCAATAGTTTGCTTCCACTTTGTTTGCAGTACATTGTGCCTTTATAGCCACGGTTGCCTCTGTTTTGTTGCCTTCTTGATGAAGGCAATAGACCAATTTTGAGCTGTAAACAATGCATATGGGAACTATGGGGCTTCCATGTGAGGTGGGGCACTAAGCTTTAGCCACTGTGATTTGCAGAAAGTGACCCACCATGAAGGTTGAGAGGGATCTAATCAAACGAATATCCGAATTTCGTTTAAATAAATATCGAAATGTATGTAATCATAGTCAAATGAGTTGTTGGTTTAATGTTATTGGAGTCGACTCTCAAAATTGAAGGCCGGTTGTTTGAACTCCGATCATAACCTAAAAAATAAAAAATAAAAAAATTATTTTATTTTGATAAGATTAGTTGAAATTAATAGCTAAGATATTATTTTATTTTGATAAGATTAGTTGAAATTAATAGCTAAGTGCAACCAAATAAAACACTAGTATTTTCATATCCAAAATAAATTCTTTAATCTTCCATAAAATAATAGCATTTGCAAATCTTGACTTTGTCATTTCTTTAATTAATATAATTGGAATTGAGTGAGTAACTTGTTTGCAACTTCTTAAGAAGGTCTCAGCCTATGTAGTATAGAATTTTTCATCTGATTTGTTTTTTTTTTTAAGTTATAATGAAAATTTCATTTAATTTTTCTAGGATTGGTTGGTAAAACAAGTACTTAATAATATCTAAATACAATATTTTATTTCTCCAACTGACCCAAATAAAAAATTTTTAATTCTTTCTCTGCTTAAATAAGACTTGTCAAAAATATTAAAAAAAAGATCGACTTGGTATTCTTTTGTTGATTCAAAGATTTGGAAAGAGTTACATATATATATATATATATATATATATATAAAAGATTGTAATTTGAAATGGAAAAAAAAATTATAGATATTGAAAATTAAATTTTAAATATGTCAAATATTAATTTTTAAAGATAATTGTGTTAAATAAATGAATTAAACTTTAAATTAAAAAATTTTATATCTTTGTAAAAATTAAAAATGCTTCCCTATCATCATGTGATTCTCAACACATTTGAGTTTGGTCTCTATTCCAATTTTTACGTGACAATTGGGTTAGACATTTTTAGAATGAACTGCCATTAAAGTGTAATTCATGAATTTGATTCAATATTTTAAGTCAAAATTAGAAAATTTCCCTAAATGGCAAATAAGGATATATATGAAACTCACATTATTTTTATGATGTATTAAAGTTTTTACTTTGCCTTAAATTGAAATTTCCACGTAGTCGTTTACTTTGAGAGAACGTTTAGATCACGGATTCTAATTTTTTTTTTTTTTTTTGGAAATCTAACTTTTCATTATTTGATTATTTTTTGGTTTAGTTTAAAAACTTTTCTTTATGTCAAGAATATTAAAATCCAAACAATGTCAAAGGTAGTAGGAAAAAAAAACACTCATCTAGATTCCGAAGAGAAAATAAAATTTTTATCTCATTTATTCTTACTTAATTGCATGTTAAAAAATAATGGTATTTTCTTATAAATGTGGTAATTTTATGTGCTGCTTTTTATTTAATCTTAAAATTTTAATAAATACTATTTTTATTGAAAATATAAAAAAAAATTAGAATTCTTAAATTTCAATAAAAACAACATTTTTAAGATTAAAAATTTAGTATTTGTTGAAATATGAAAAAAAATTTATATTATAATAAAAATTTATTATTAAATATATTACATGTACAATAAAATCTAAAATACTTTTACAAAAACAATTTATTAAAAATATCAAATGAACAATTTACATGTTAAATAATATGAATGTCACAAGTTATTCACGTATCATCAAAAACAATATAGTAAAAGATGTTATTAGATAATTTTACATTCTTTTAATCAAATACAAAAATTTTACATTCCTTAATGTCAACAAAAACAATGAATTACATATTCTCCTTCCATATCACTTTTCTTTGAAATCTAAGAATCTGCAAATTAAACATTTTTAAAAGTTAAATTTCAATATTTTTAAGAAGAATGAAATGTACAATTTAAGATTTGATTTTACTTTGTTAGTTTTGAAATTTTCCAATATCATTAAAGAAATTGATTAATAAACTCAAATTTTAATTTAATTAATTCATACATTCATTCTAAAAATTTGACATTCAACAAATTTGAAATTCAAATTCCAATACTTATAACTCCTTTTTCTATATATCTTCAAAATACAACCTTTTAAAAATAATAATAATAATTATTGAAACATGCATGGATGGGTCTCACATGCAATTTCACATGTAACATTTTGTATGCTAAGACTAGGGGTGGCCATAACAACTTGGACTATAAAATCACATGTTCCTTCATGTTTTAATAATTTAGATGGCAAAAGCCTAGAATGTCACAAGAAAAATAAATGCCAACCTCAATAACTATGGATCATAGCTTCTAATATATAATTATTTCGATATTATTTTTTTATTTGAATTTTTTTATTTTTATTTTTTTAAGTTTTTGACATAGGTCATATATAATAAAGTTATAACTCTTGATATTCCAAGAATTAAGGGTTTTTCATGTGAGGAACAGTTGTGGTCTAACGGTGAATTAGAAAATAATAATTATCTTATTATAATGATTAATTTTGAGTCTTACATATTAAGAATCGAATCGAATTCAAATATAATAACAATCGTGTGATTTATTGATAAAATGTAAAATTTTTAGTTTTAGTATAATTTCATATTTTTTTTGAAGTTATAATTATTTATCACTATTTGTTATTCCTTAAATTATACTCTTAAGTTCTTTTGTCAAAAAAAAATAAAAATATATATATATATATATAACCATAATACTTTCTCTTAATAGATAATTTGTTCAAATTCCTTAAAATTGATTTTTAAATTTAACATTAATGAGAAAATAATCAAGCTTCCATCATACTTTAATGTGTCTCAGCTCATTAGATAAAACAAATATTTATATATTTGATATTAATGTCATTATTTTTCTAAGGTGGTACTTTTTATTTCTTATTTTTCTTGGGCAGCAAGGCTCCATTTGTTTAGAAATAGACTTTTCAACAACAATTTGATCAAATTAACACTATTTTTTTTAATTGTTATAATATTTGTGTACATATTATAAAATATTATAAATCATTCATTATAATTTTGTAAATTTAGCAGTGCTATTTCTATGCACAAAGGGATATATTCAACAACATAAATTTCATAATTAAGGAGAGCAATCTAGATTAGAGATAAAATTTGAGTTCTTTTTCTCTATATTTTTATTAGCGAAATTTTTTAAATTCATAAGTGAAGTTAAGAGATCGAAACATATCTCACTTCTTTCTTTTAATTAATTTTTTTATTTTTTAATATATTATAAAATATTTGTCATCTTATTAATCTCGTTTATGAAATCTAAAAATTTTATTACCAGTAAAATTATCACATCCGCTAACAACGAAAATTTTTAATTTTATAAGCAAAACTAATAGAATAACACTTGCTCTTTATAGAGTATACTAAAAAAATAAAAAATAATTAAAAAAAGAAACGAGACTAATAGATAATAACATTCTCTTAATCTTTTTTATGAAATTAAAAAAATTGACGATTAATGTGTAAAAATTGAATTAAAAAATTATTTACTTATATTAACTCAATAATTTTAACATGAAATTTTCTTTTTCTTTTTGGAATCTAATCCTACCTTTTTAGTATAATTCACACTTATATATATTTGGTAGCCCCAAAATTCCTACCTAGTTGGCCTAAATTTTTGACACTTAATCAAGAAAACTACTTTACCAAATTTGATTTTCTTTCAACAACTTTCTTGCAAACCAAACACACTCCAAAATATTGTTGCTCCTTTGAAAAAGGCAAAGCCCAAAACATGAAAATTCAAAGTCAAAGACGTGTAATCAGACTTCTTCAATCTTATCGCTGGATTTCTCTATTTTCATCCAAGCCGTCCAAATAATCAAGAACCACCTCGTAAAAGCACCGTATGGTTAAATGGATGGTCATGATTCAATATAAGAAAAACACGCCAAAGTTGACTTCTTTAGAATCTCCAACATTCAAGGAAACAGCAAAACCTTAAAAAACGAGATAAGATCCCCCTAAAACACGCTGCAATGTGATAAAGCCAAAATGACAGCTGCCAAAAAAGACAAATAAAATCAATTTTTTAAAAATAATTTTTATATTCTATCTTTATTTTTTATAAAAATTTTCGTAATATATTATTTAATAATTTCAAATATGATATAATAATTATATATAAATTTAATAAAATAAAAAAATATATTTTATATTTTTATGTTAAAATTATGAAACATAATTTTTATATAAAATTTAATAAAATTTAAAAATTTTAATATTTTATACATATAAATATACGAATTTTAATATTAAATTTTTTTTTCATTTACAAGATTCTTCTTTATCATTCATTGCTTATTAAAATCTTAATCTTCATTTACAAGATTAATCTTTCTTAATCTTAGAAAGATTCAAAACTCTTAAATCCGTTTTTAGCATAAAAACTCACAAATTAATTATAATTAGCTCTTGTCATTTTAAAAGTGAATATTTGATAAATTTTGAGTTTAAATTTTAATATTTGTCATTTGTGCTTATATATTAAGATTATGGATTTTTTTTTAAAAATTCATAAATTAAACCTATATAGTTTAATGATTAATATAAATTAACCAGAGTTAAATCCACCAAATGATTAATGTAAACTTCTCCTATAAATACCACTCTTCAAAACCCTCTATTTTCTTCATGTTACGTGTTCAGTTACACTTTCTTTTTTCCGGCAGATAAAGTTTCTGCTGTTTCTCATCTCTCTCTCTCTTTCTTCTTTTTTTTTTTTTTTTATGGTGAGTTCTTCATAAACCTTCTTTTTTTCTGTTTTATTTTGGCATGAAACCTTAGTTTTTAATAATAAAATCGTCTTAGGATTCATGGGTTTTTTCAAATTTTTAAATATTTTTAAGGGTTTTATTTTATCTAGATTTTTCATAATTTTGTTGTTTATTTTGTTCAAGTTTCCTTTTTTTTTTTTTATAAAATTTTAGCTGTTCTTTTTTTTTTTTTCATCTTTTCACTTATATTTTTGAATGATTTTCGTGAGCAGATGCCTAGCGTCAATCCCGGCCAATCCGACAAGGATTCGGAGCCGTTTGTCGAGATCGATCCGACCGGTCGTTATGGTCGTTACAGTGAATTTCTAGGTTCCGGGGCAGTTAAAAAGGTTTACAGAGCATTTGATCAAGAAGAAGGCATTGAAGTTGCATGGAACCAAGTCAAGCTACGAAATTTCTCCGACGATCCATCGATGATCGACAGGCTTTATTCGGAGGTTCGATTATTAAGATCATTAACCAACAAAAACATCATTTCATTGTACCATGTTTGGCGCGACGAGGAACACAACACATTGAATTTCATAACTGAAGTGTGTACTTCTGGGAATTTGAGAGAGTACAGGAAAAAACACAGGCAAGTTTCAATGAAGGCATTGAAGAAATGGTCAAAGCAGATTTTGAAAGGCTTAGATTATTTGCATACACATGAGCCTTGTATTATTCACAGAGATCTTAATTGCAGCAATGTTTTTGTTAATGGAAACACCGGTCAGGTATGCTTTTTTTCACACATGATGGGTTTTTTTTTTTTTACTGTTTGGTCACTCAGAAAGAGCAAAGAATAGTTAAGAAAATGAAAGGGTAGAGAATATAATTCTCTTATAATTACTTTATAGTTTTATTCACTGTTAGGGTATGTGAGCAGACTCGGTACCAATTCATTTATGCTATTTTATAATAGATCAGTAACATAGTAAAACTCATTCATATTGATTCGTTTACACTTTTATATAGATTATATCTACTTTGGATGCAACCTTTATTGACATTAATCTTTGGAATTTGAAGAACAATTTGATTTTCAACAGGTTAAGATTGGTGACTTGGGATTGGCAGCGATCGTGGGGAAGAGTCATGCAGCACATTCAATTCTTGGAACACCGGAATTCATGGCACCGGAGTTATACGACGAAGATTACACAGAACTTGTTGACATATACTCATTTGGGATGTGTGTGCTTGAGATGGTGACCCTGGAAATTCCATATAGTGAATGTGACAATGTGGCCAGAATTTACAAGAAAGTGTCAAGCGGGATGAGGCCGCAGGCCATGAGCAAGGTTAGAGATCTGGATGTGAAAGCATTCATTGAAAGATGCCTTGCTCAGCCTAGGGCAAGACCTTCAGCGGCAGAGCTGCTTAAGGATCCATTTTTCGATGAACTTGATGATGACGAAAATGATGATCATGGCGTACCTTCATGACCAAGGATTATCAGTGTAGTGTATCGACTCAATTAGGCATAGATCTTCTGTGTTGTTAATATTTTTTAATCCTAGTGTTGCATCCAAATTAGTGGTTGTCCTCTTAAAATTTCTCTTTCAAGTAGGATAATTTAGAAGTTCGGCTCGCACTGTACTAGAAGATGCATTTTATTATTGGATTTTTCAGTCATATATCTGTATATAAAACGCATCTTTCAATGCGGTGGGAGCCTTTCCGTCAAGCTTCCATATGAACCCTAAATATAAGTTTAATTTGTACATAATGTTTTCACAATATCCAAGTTTGAATGGGAAGAAAGATTGTGTGTAAACTTTCGGTTTCTTGAACATGAATTCCTCATCTTTTTATTATTTTTTTCAGCTTAAATGTCAAACTTCAAACTTCAAAACTAAGATAAGATCAATTGAGATTTGGGTTGTATTTGAAGTGCAAGTCAAAGCAAAATACAACTCAAAAAGGATTTCTTATATTGTTTGTACTAATCTTCGAGTTGAAAGAAAGACCTTGAAATCAAGAGAGAAAGAGACCAATTAAAGATAAAATCAAAAAATATTTTCTATGTTTGTGCTCCAACACTCGAATCAAAAATCGTCTAGAAATCGCCTAGAGGAGGTTGGAAAGGGTTGAATGGGGCTATGAAGAACAAGCTATGTTTTGATGAACAGATAACATATTTTATTATAGGAAGTTGGTTGACATAGAGACCTTTTTTGTATTGCTCTCACGCTTATTGCCATAGCCTGGCCATGGTCTGGCCTGACTGGTTTTCCTTTTCCAAAAGAAAAAAGTTGGAGAATTTGGCATCAAAGTTTGTGAGTGCTCTGCTGGGGTTTCACATTTCCTTTTAACAAACTTAGAGAAATGCTTTATTCTTTTTCTTTTATTGGAAAATACTATATTCTAAATTTAAACAGTTAAGAAAATGATCTTTCTTTATATAATATAAATTCATTTAATATTTAGTTATACTCTGCAGAATCTGAGTGTATATTGTTCTCTACTAAGATTGGAATACACAGCATTAATATGCCTCCAATTAGTAGTATGGGAGAAACTTTCAACTCTAAATATAATCTCAAATTAAAAGGTTGTTGGTGTTGAGCTGTCTTGATGAATGCCAAAACCTGAAATTACAGTGTAGAAGGTCAGTTAGTAGCAAATGTTCAAAGTTTTTTCAATATTTGTATTTTAACGTTCAAGTTAGTGCTCCACAAGAAGTGGAAAAGAAACAAATGAAAAGAAGATATGAAAAGTTGAAATTATTTGATAGTACATACCTGTGGTGAAAGTACTGGTTTAGGTGGTCTAAGCTCCAAGTAACAAGGTTAGGGTTGTCGTCACCCATTTGAATTGAGCCAGCAATCAACAATTAAATTAGAGAATGACACATCAACATTTTCGTGTGCCACCGGATGATCAGTTAAAATGATCGACCTGACGTGAAGCTTGAGAATTCAAGTCGACTCAACATATTAACTCAATCAAATTAATTAACTTGCCCCTGATTAATAGGTGACTAACACTCTAAAATAAAAGGTTTATTTTACCCTTTAGACTCAAGCATGCCCCTGACAAAAGCTAATGACATAAAAACGGTCCATTAGGCTGACTTTTTAGCCAAAAGCAAATTTTAAATAACTTGATATAGGGTTTTGTGTAGAAACATAGTTTCCATTTTTTTAATTCTATCTAAAAAATAATCTTTAAAATATTTTTATATAAACAACCAACTAAAAGAAAGACAAGAAAATCATCTTTGTTGATGTGGCCTCTAATGCTTGATCTTTGGCTTCCTGTTTTGGGGACATCATAGAACCGATGAAATTTATGTTCATAAATCAAACATGGAACCTGATTTTTTTTGTTTTTTTGAAGTGTCTTATATTTTGCATAAGATTCCTAGATAAACAGAACCAACCATATAAATGGAAATTGCTAGCTTTAGAGTTGAATTTACTGAGTCATGATAAAGAGGAAGTCTGATTTTTTGCATGTTGCAAGTGAAACAGAAACCTTTAATTCCAGGAAAAAAAACAGTTTTAAATTCAATACTTCAAGGGATAATGTCTTTCCAGGATGCCTGAAAGCAGATAATTGAACTTTAGATCAAATAAATTTCTAGTGCTTTCTTACAGATTGGTATATTCTCATTAATAATGAAATTTTTTTACATAAGTGTCTGAAAAAAATATAAAAAAAAAATTACAGGCGTTGAGATTTAAACTTCCAACCAGCTAAATGCTTACTCTTAAAATAGTTGTATAAATCAAATAAGTTAATCCTCGAGTTCCTAGAAATGATGAATTTGACATCCCCAAAGATCAGCTACTTAGGAAAATGAATCTGTTTATGCATGTTCAGGTAAATTTAAGAGAAAGAAATGGTAAAATATTGATACATCAAGTAAGTTAACTTGTCCATATGCCTGTTGCTTTGTGCTTGTCAATGTATGTGCTGCTTCTTGGCTTCATACCACAAGGTTTAATGGTGAAAAAGAAAAAAAAAAAACAAATTAGTCCATGGATGTTCCAAAGACGGACATTATTCTTGTCCAAAAACTTCTGATCACTTACTCCTTGATCATGATGTTTCTCATGAATTTCTTCAACCAAAAAATAATTAAACTACTAATAGTATGATGATATCCAGAAAGAAAAAAAAATTTAGACGCTTAGCGCGTGATTCTGCAGCTTCATCAGAAGAGACTATGATAGCTCAAAGCTGTTATCAGCAACCAACAGATTGTGAGCAAGTTAGTGACGGTGTCTCAGTAATATTGCTTTGGAAACTAAGACAGAAAATGTCCTTATCTGATATATCAAAACAAGGAGGAACAATGATGCATTGTGATTCTATCAAGTTGCCTGATTGAAGTATCCTTTAAGCAAGTTTCGGATGACCGAAGAAAGTAGTCCAAAGATGCAGAGAAGGGGAGATTTTGATCTGCTTCTGAAGGGGCTAACATGCATTGCAGTTGTTCCTCTATTAACCATAGTCTGTATGGGAGGTGAGACATGAACAAGGAACTCAAAAGGAGTTAATGACTTGGCACAAAATCCCTGCTTGCATAAGCCTGAAGGTGTCAAGTGCAATTTGCAGTAGAAATAAGGCTTGAAAATCTGAATCTTAATTAGAAGGGTAATAGATGCAGATGCCGTTTGCATGCTCCAAAAGCTTGAAGTTCTTCGCTTAGCACGACATGGAGCTGTATCTACCTTGATATCATACTGCACAAGGCTGAGGCATATCCAGAGCTTGGACATGTTCAACAATCATTTTACTCCCATCGGTCCACATATCAAACACGAATTCAAGCATGTTTATAAGTATTCCATGGAACCAATTGCATTACAAAGAGATAGGCATTCAAACACAACAGAACGGGATGACACAGGCTGCAGAATGAGTCTCGTGATAATACGAAATTTTGCATTTGGAGTGTTCACATAAATTATGACATGATAATTTTTATATTTTACACTTGTTAAAAATGAAATAGACAAACATGGATACATGAATTGCCAAAGACATCTGACTATAAAGAGAATCAAATGAATCAGAAAAGCTTATACATGGCAATCTAGATAAACTGCTTACTTTTAGCTGTGGTTTACCAAAGACATTTCCTATGCACAGCTCTTCCGGGCTGAAAACTGTTCATCAGGCTGCATTTTCCTATTCTCCCATACCCCATTTCTGTACTCTAATATGAAAAACAACAAAGGCAATCATCATTAATCATAATGGCAGGTGAACATGTTCAAACAATACTTTTTCTGCTGCAACCTGAATTTATAAATTATGAAAGAAAAAGTAAGACTGCTTTATTTGTTATTTATTCAATACTGTGAATTTTCTGTCATTGAGAAGTAGATGGAAAAAAAAAATAGTGGGATTTGGCCATTTGGGATCATCAATCTGTTATAATGGTTCAACTTGGTTTGGAACTGAATGACTATGTCCATAACTCAATTCTAGTGAATGCATCAAATCCAGATGTCCTAAACAAAACAAAACATGGGATTGGACTTGTGTATAATTATGTTCATAACTCAAACCTCAATGTCAATTGAAGAGGTTCAAGATCAGATAACTTTTGGAGACTTCAAACAATCCAGAACAAGACATGATCTTTGTCATGAAATTGTAATAATTTGATAATGTTGTGTAATCCTTTGTGGTTTTTGTTAGAAAAAAAAAAAGAAGGAAAAGATGAGAAATAAAATAAATATGGGACTAACTTGTAAGTTCTAACTCCACTAATTTTATGTGTGGTCTGAAGCCAGCCAGACTCGATCAGGTTCATTGTAACATGAACTTAGAAAACAACAGCATCCCAAAATTTTGGATCAACTTGTCTATAAATATATCCAATAAAAAAATTAAAATAAAATAATGCAAATCTAAGGTCTAATAAAGTTGTCCAAAAGTCTGTTTCAAGATTAACAATGCAAAAGTTGAAACATGATTTGATTACAACATGCCATCCAACCCAGGAATAGATGTCATTTGCTTAATATATCATATAATTTTAAATATAATATAATAATATAAAATATTAAAAGTAATCGATTTAAAATTTTAATAAAAAATTATATATAAATTTAAAATAATAAAAAATTATATTTAATTTATTAACATGAATTATGATAATTAATTTTCGTATTTTATAAATATTTAATACAAACTAGATCTCACAAATAAAATCAAAACAAGATTTTTACTATTAATTTTCTGTCAGAGAAAAAAAAAAGGATAATCACCATCTCCTGGCATAACTCTTCAGGCAACTCCAAATATTCTTACACTAGAGAAATGCCAATCTCAGTCTCTCTGTCCAAATATATTCTCTCACTTCTCTCCCCACCTCTCTCCTCAAATTCCATTTCTTTTGATTTAATTAAGAGGAGTGGAATAACCAAGAAAGAAAAGAAACAGAGGAGGAGAGAGAGGAGAAGAGAGAAAAGCCTTTTTAAAGAGAGATTTAAAAAAAAAAAAGAAGAACAACGAAGCCTCCTCTTCTGTTTCCATTGTCATCATTTCTCATCTCAAATCTTAATCCCCTTAGCATTTTCTTTTCTGGGTCATTTCCAAGATGGTAAAGTTTCTCCCTTTTTCGTATTCTATCTGTTTCTCTATGTATCTTGATCTTTCCCAGACTTTTCCTTTGACTTGATCCTCATAATTTGGTATCAATTTTAAATTTTTTTGATTGTCAGGAATCTTGGGTTGTTTCCTGATTGGTGCATGAAGCTTTCATATGATCCTAGATTGGATTTGACAACTACCCACCTTGTCTTTGATCAGATTCTGTCTGTAATTCATAACAAAGGGTATGTTGTTTCTTTTAATTTTCCTGTTTGATTGCTGTTATTGTTCACATTTTGATCTGTTTTATTTTTTTCTACGTAAGGATGGATCCTTTTTAGCTGCTGATGATAATTGTATAATTCAGGATTGGTTTTTTAAGTTGTGAAGGAGTTGCATTCATTCAATTGGTGTTAGAATTCTGATTGAATTTGAAACTTTAATCTTTGAATCCAATTGTGGTACTTGGTTTTGAGAAAAGTTCAGATTTTTCATTGAAATTGGTGGTTGATGATGGTGATTGCAGATAAGATGGAATCAGATCTTGGTAAACTCTTCATTGGTGGGATATCTTGGGGCACTGATGAGGAACGTCTCAAGGAGTATTTCAGGAAATATGGAGAAGTGGTGGAGGCAATGATCATGAGAGATCGTGTCACAGGTCGTGCCCGTGGCTTTGGTTTTGTTGTCTTTGCTGATCCTGCAGTTGCTGAGAGGGTAATTGTGGATAAGCATATGATTGATGGTCGCACGGTGAGAGCCTTGATTATGATTATCCTTTATACATTACAGGTTTAATTGGGACTCTATATATATTTCTTTTGGTCTAAAATACTACTAGAAAATGCCTATAGAGGAGGAATGCTGTTTGTCCTCAACAAATTAGAGATTTGTGATAATCACAGTTAGATAAAGTTTGCCAAAATTTCCCCTTTCTGTGGACACCAAGTAATGAATTTAAACTATTTTGTGACATTGACTTGATATGATTTTGTTTCTGGCCAAAAAAACAGAAATATGATCTTGTTTGAGTGAATTTCTATCCAATTGCTACTTTGGGACAGAAACTGTGACTCAATTGTTTGATTAAACTTGCTGTCTGCTCAATTTTCAGGTTGAGGCAAAGAAGGCTGTTCCTAGGGACAATCAACACATTCTAAACAGGAACATGAGTGGCATCACTGGATCTCCCAGTCCTGGACGCACAAAAAAGATTTTTGTTGGAGGTTTAGCATCTACGGTCACTGAGGGTGACTTTAAAATCTACTTTGATCAGTTTGGTACAATTACTGATGTTGTGGTGATGTATGATCAGAACACGCAGAGGCCGAGAGGGTTTGGCTTCATCACTTATGATTCAGAGGAAGCGGTAGACAGAGTCCTGTATAAAAGATTTCATGAACTCAACGGGAAATTGGTTGAGGTCAAGAGGGCAGTTCCTAAAGAACTCTCTCCAGGCCCCAGCTGCAGCCCTGTGCTTGGATATAATTATGGTTTGAGTAGGGCTGCCAACTTCCTCAATAGTTATGCTCAGGGATATAATCTAAGCCCACTTGGAGGCTTCGGAGTCAGGATGGATGGTAGATTTAATCCTCTTGCTAGCGGTCGAAGTGGGTTTCCTCGATTTAGTACCAGTGGCTATGGAATAGGTATGAATATGGAACCAGGAATGAGCCCAAGCTATGGTGGGAGTTCCAATTTTGGCAACAATCTTGGATACGGGCAGATAATTAGCCCCTATTATAGTGGGAATTCAAACAGGTATAACACTCCTATTGGCTATGATGTTGGAAGTGGAAGAAATGATTCTATTTTGAGCTCTGTTACTCAGAATGTCTGGGGAAATGCAGGCCTTAACAATGTCACAAATGCTTCCAGCCCTGGTGGTTACTTGGGGACTGGAAGTGGGAGTTTTGGTTCTTTAGGAAGTGGGGCTAATTGGAGCCCTTCTCCTCCTGCACAAAGTGGAGGGAATGGTTCTGGCTATACTGGTGTGAGGGCTGGTTATGGAAGTACTAATGACAACTATGGTTTGGGAGGGGGAAGATATGGAAGAAACAGTAGCACTGTTGCAGCTCCAACATCATCATTTCCTGGGTCAACTGAAAATTTTGAGGGGTCCTATGGGGACCATTATCGCAGTGGCTCAGTTTATGGTGACTCAACTTGGCGGTCTGCAGCTCCTGACTTAGATGATTCTAGCTCGTTCAGTTATGGGCTTGGCAATATATCCTCAGGTGTTACTGTAAGAACCTCTGAGGATTATGTTGGAAGTTACAGTATCACAAGTAGACAGTCGAACAGAGGTAATATTCTCTTTAGTTTCATGAAGTGGACCTTTAGAATAGCCTCTGACTTTAGGTTAGTTCTACTCAAGATTCACCGGGATAGAATTAACTACTTCCAACTTAAAGGTTTCAGCTGAACTTTCTTGACTCTAGATGAAAATTTCCCTGTGCTGGAAGTTAATTGCAGTCATAGTTTCTCGATGTTTGAACCCATAGCTTTGGTGTCTATGATGTTAGGTACTATAACATAAACTAGTTTCTTGGCATCTGGTTAGCGGAGGGAGTCAAAAAGAACAAAGATAAGGTCATTAGTTTAAGGGGGAACTGATTTGTTTGAAGTTCATGGAGTTTGAATTTAAGATGGAGATCATACTTGTTTTGCCATTTAACAGTTGTTGTGGAATACACTCTGAAGATTATCTTTAGTCATGTGTCATGTCTGAATCACCTCCTGCAAGGGCAGCCTACTGTTTACTTTTCTTGTGGCACCCTGATAGAATCCATAAGTGTCATTTTTTTTATCCAACCTCCTTGCATTTATGCTTGCTTTTTAAACAGTTTGCATCAATGAATATTTGTCAGAACTTTTTCTTGGGGCCTGTATGAATTTGATATTGTTTTAAATAAATCAGAAGAAATAATCAAATTTAATTAGTATCATTCCTACACTCTATCATGGAGACTGGAATTTCAATAATCTAAATATTATTAATTTTGTAGGACTGAATCACCGAAAGACAATTTTTTTTACGTTCAGATACTTGAGCTTGATTCTAAACATTTTATTTATGCTGATATGTTGAAGCTTGAGAGGTGAATGCCAGCTTGCTGCATTTATTAATTCATCTATTTGTTTGTTTCTTATTCAGGAATTGCTGCCTAGGTGATCTGTTATTCAGATATCAGAAGTTATAATATAGGGTGAATGAATTTGCGCAAGCAGGTGAAGGATTTGTGAATTTGATACAACTGCCTCATTACCATGTCAGCTTACAAGGAAATTGACCGTATAGCACTAACGCGGGTTATTGATTTGAAATATACATATTCAGAGTGAGCAAGGGATTTTATATAAAGTTTGAGATTTGATTTTTTTTTCTATTTATTTTAATAGTGAAAATTTAGGTTCCTTTCTTGGCATTTGAGTGAGGTGTAAAATCAGATCATGGGATATATACACCAGAAGGTGGGTTCCAATTAATGCACCATGCATCTCCAGCAAGGCATGCCAGTAGTGGTACATCAAACAATAGGGTATTAATCGTTTTTCCTTTTTCCTTCTAAATTTTTTCAGCTGCTGTAATGCCTGGCATATTTGCAGGTTCTTGTCCCTATATTTTCTTCATATTATCTGGGTTTTTCTCTCAGATTACAAGGAGTTTCTGTTCAATTTACTAATGTGAAACATTAGAGGGATATCCATATAAAATTCCGATCAAATAAGTTACAAAATATTTTGATTTATTTTTTATTAGACACTACATCAAAGAGATTTGACCCTTAGACGGATATTAAGTGATTGCATGAACTAATTGGGTTAAACCTTGGGATCACGTCAAACATCTTTACTCATGGTATATTTGATAACTGTTTGCTTTTTTCTGCTAAACTCTTCGTCAGTTGCTTTCGACATCTCTTTTTCTTACATTGTCATATAAAAAACTTGAGAGTCATTTGCATCCTATTAGGTTATTAGAGACTTGATTCCTATGGCTGTGATATACGGATATGATCGAAGTTTGGACTTTTTTATTTGTCTGCAATGCTATAATTCTGCATTAACTGCCATTCTAGTTGTATTTTTCAGAGGTTTCCATCTGCTGATAAACATTCAGTTATTTGTTATCAATGGCCATCCTGTGGCCATACCAAGCTCTTATCCATATTACCATATAGATAAATATATATATATATATATATATATCTTGCCTGGGTTTTCAAGTCACTTTCATTTGAATTTTACTTTGTCAGTGGCATCCAAAAATAGATACTACCATGTTTGTGGTCCTATCTCTACCATTATGTGAAGTTTTATGGCATTGGTGCTCTGATAGTGAACCTCGGACTTGCTGGTTAGCTTTTTGTCATGTGGATTTTAGGAGGCTGCCTGCCACTGCCCAAATCTCTTTTGGGGTTTCCATTTTCCACTTAAAAGTTGCCAAAATCATGATATCAGCTTGCAAAATTTATCTGTGAGCAAGGCGCCATCTAGGATGTAATCAATCAAATTTGAGTCAATATAGCATTAAGCTCAAGTTTGAATTTGAGTTAGACTTCAAATTTGAATATCAAAACTTGATTTGAGCTTCATCGAATTTTATATTTTTAAGTCGAGATCGATTCGAGATAAAAATTGAGTTAATCAAGTTCGTTCGATTAATTTAGATTAATATGTAAAAATAAGTTTAATTATTTGTGTTCAAACTCGAGTTCAAGTTTAAAATATTTTATTAATTAAAATAATTAAAATATATTAAAATATAAAAATTTAATTAAATTTGTAAATTATTCAAGTCAAGTATAAAAATATTTAAATTTAATTTAATAAATAAACGTGTTATTCAAGTTTGAGTTCGATATGATAATAATCAAATCGAATTTAAATAATTTACAAATATTAATATATTATTTATATTTTTAATTTGGGTAAAGTGTTCGGAGCTCATAGTAGAGAAACTTTCATGGTGAAAAAGAGCAAAATTTTTACCCCATTGTGTTCTTTTCTTGCTCCGTCAAACTTTGTTTTCTTTTCGTAACTGTTTGTGAAAAAAAATTCAGAAAGGGGATAATTATGGGGATAATTATGATCCTATTATATATGCTAAATGATATGAATGATATTTGAAATACAGTAAAATATTTAATATTATATCTAAATTTTAAAAAATTTATAATATATTATCTAAATTATGAATCTATTAATTAATATGATATTTAAAAAATTATTTTATCATTACATGTTATCATTTAAAATTAATCATGTTAAAAGTAAGTATTATATCAATTAATAGATTCATAATTTAAGTATTATATTATATATTTTTAAAATTTAAATATTGCATTAAGTATATTTGGATTAATGTTATGAATTATTTTTAAATTATAATAAAATATTTAATTTGATATTCGAATTATGAATTTGTTAATTAATTTAATATTTATTTTTAACGTGATTAACTTTAAATGATGACATATGATATATAAATAATATTTCAAACATCATTTTAATTAACAAATTTATAATTCAAATATCATTAAAAAATTTTTAAATCTAAATATCACATTAGATTTTTTTAATAATTCAAGGATAATTTTTAATATTTTCTCAATATATTATTACATTTTAGAGATATCTTTTGTAATATTAACCATGTTATACTTGTAAAATCTGGTGGTAATAAGATGTGTGTTTCAATTATTCAAATTTACCATATAAGAAAATCTTGAGGAATATTAATAGCCAGTGTCATAATTGTTCTATCTTCGAAATGAAATCGTGACATTTACTGGGGTCCGAACTAAGCAGAAATTTTCTACGGCCCTGATTGCACCGTAAATTCACATCACTCGAGCCATGTAATATTTCTTATAATTTTTATCAAAAAATATTAAACTTGATAATTTTAAATATGATATAATAAAATAATATAAAAATAATTATATTTAAAACTTTAATAGAAATTATAAAATCAATAAAATCAATATTTTATATTTTACATTTTTATATTTATATAAATTGTAAAATATATTCTGAAATAAAAAAACTCTTTTACCCTAAATTTTTAAATAAAAATTCTGAAAAATATCCAACCATGATTTTACTGAAATAAAAAGTCAAACTTCAATACGATTGTTGGGGTCCTGTTGGAACAATGAGATCCCATAAAAAGAGGCTAATTTGTCCAACACTCAAGTGCCTAGTTCTTCTTACTTTATAGGATGCTTCGTTGTCTTCCTTCAATGAATGACAAAGTTAGAAGTACGCTTATGATTGTAATTATAATACGACAATATGATATAAAAATAATAAATAAATTTAATTTAATTATATTTTATATTTTAATTATGTTAACATGATTAAAATATGGCATTGGACAAGGGAGGACCCTGGTAAATCCAGTTGAACAAGCTGTTAGAACAATTGGGATGAAGAAAAGACTTTCAAAGATGAAGATACAAAGATGTCAGTATGGAATCTTGCCGGTCAGCATGAGTTCTATTCTCTTCATCATCTCATGTTTCCGGGCCATGGGAGTGCCTCATTTTTCCTGATCATATCCAGTTTAGCGAAGCAACAGAGAACCAAAGACTCCAATGGAGATTGAAGAGGACTTTCAATATTGGCTTGGGTTTATTCTGTCCAACTCGAAAAGGGCAGTCCAGCAATGCATGCTACCCAATGTAGCAATAGTCCTCACACTATGACAAAGTCGATCAAACATCTCGGAACTTGCAGGCCACACTGAATTCAATACAAAAACTGAGAGACAAATTTAATGGCTACATTGATTTCTATCCATTTGTGTTTACTGTTGATACATGATCATCTGCATCAGTCACTAAACTCACCCATCACATCCGAAAAACAAGCAAGACTGTTCTCCAGAGAGTTCCTCAGGTTTATCAGCTTTGCAATGATCTTATATAAATTTTATCTGATTGGAGATAAGAGAACTATAACAAGCCAGTTATGAAGTGGAAAGAGTTTTGCTGATCTATGCCAAGTTAAAGTCCCACCTCGGAGGATTCGATCTCGACATGATAATAAGGCGAAAATCGAAATGAGGAAGGCAGTTGCTACTTGTCTTCATCATATAGGGGACTTAATATATTTTGATTTACTAGGCTTTATAATTTTGGATTGTGAGTGGTTTTGTGGTGAAGTGCTAAGTCAACTGATAAAGTTAAGAGGTTAGAAGGCAAAGCTCAGCAGATAATGGATTCATCAGCAGGAGAGAACCGGAGAAGATTCTAAGAGGAAATTTTCAAAGCCAAATTCCTGGAATTGGTTCAAAGGTGTTTGAGAACTTAGAGGCCGATGACCTTGTAAATCTGATCTAAATTCTCCGCTGTTGATTCCCTCTATTCTTGAAGAAGGCAGAGAGAAACCACAGAAATGGCAATTAAGTGGGGCTGCTTGCCTTTATACAGGACGACATCTTCAGTGTGATGATTCAAGCCATATGTTATTTACACCAGGCTTCTTTCCATGTTTACAGGCAAGAGCTTTACCTTATTTCGCTGGTCTGCCTTTTCTTTCATTGCTCTTTCACATGTTAAGCATTTCGTTTAGATGCCATTAAATCTAATAGCCATATCATCCAGAATTGAAGCAAGACTGTAGAAACAGGCCTTATATCATAAGTAGGGATGTAAATGAATCGAATATGAACTAATTTTGCTATGATCATGATTTGTTCATTTAATTAATGAACCCTGAAAGGTTGTTTGTTATCATTTATTAAGTTTAATAAACAAATATAAATAATAAAAAATTCGGCTTGTTCACACATTTTCATGTTATAAATGAATTGAATATTAACAAATTTTATTATGTTCGTAATATGTTTTTTTAATTAACAAATTCTGAAATATTATTTATGATCATTTATTAATCTTAATAAACAAACATAATCGAATAGAAACTGAGCTGATGTCTTTCTACGAAGTGTGAATACGTTTCATCATTCTCTTTGCATTAATATATCAATGATGGCGTAAATAAAAGAATTGACATATGTACACCATGAGAACATTTGATTAAGCAAGTTTTTTGATATATCATGGCTGAGGGAGAAGTGTACCAGAATTCATTCATTTTCGATTCTTACACTCCTATACATGAATGTACGGTAAAAAATTATAACTGCAAAGATATACTGGTCAAAAACTATAACTGTAATGTAAAGTTATACCAGCCAATCACATTTTATGATTGTGATGTAAATCGAATATGAATACGTGTCCACTGATGTCTTGAATCAAATCATGCAGAACAGGCAAAAGCAAAATTTTGGATGCTTTGCCCTTGCCTCAAATCACCATGTGAAAGTGGGACCAATTTTCACATGATATGATTACAAACATAATTAGACTGTGGTTAGATTGAATAAAATTTGCAGAAGGAAGACGTGTTATAAAAGGAGAGTTCATACATACTAACAGCAGCTGCAATGGAACAAAGGTAGTAACAGTACAAGTCATGATTTCCCCTTCATCTAAAGCTTGTCGACCTAGAAAGGAAAACACCACATTACATAATACATTATTACATATTCACTACTAGTTTTAGTTTCCAGTCTCCGCCCTAAAATCTAAAGTGACCTGTGTGTCTTCCTTTGAACAGAGGAACAGAAGCTTAGAAAAAAGCCCTACTTCCATAGAACACCCGAGAGCTGTTGCCAGTGTTTTTCGATGCCTGTAATTTCTGATCAGTGGTGCTTGACTTCTCTGATTTGGTTGGTTCATTGTCGATATCCAGAGGCAGTTTCATCTTAGCCAATGACTCAGTAAATTGCTGCATGCTTTTCATGTACATGTCCACTATATCCTGCTGCATTACCTTCTGCTCAGGCTCAATATTGACAGAAACAACAGGTTTTGCAATGGAATCGCGAGCCCCAGAGGAACCACTGTCAGCATCTCCAGCATCCACAGGTTTCTCTTTTGGGGCTGAAATGTGTTCATGAGAAGAAGTTTTTGAAGCAGCTGGACCATCAGAGGACTCGAGCTTGCAGCAGCTGATGGAGATGAAGCCCCATTAGTTGACACACTGCTTGGAGGAGATCAAGCTTGGAGACTTGGATGGGAATTGGTTGTAGGCAGTTGAGAAGCTTTCCACTACAAGGACACCATGTTC